GGTAGGTCTAGATAAAGGAATTTTACATCAAAAATACGCTTAAAATGTTCATATAAAAGAAACCTAATATCTGTGACATTGAACTAGATGCTTATGAAAAGTAGCCTAAACTAACAGATCCACATTTTCAACAGTCCATCCTTGGACTATAAATAGGAAATAATCTCCCAAATGCTTCTACCTGATAGCCCCTGGGTGGCAAGGAGGATTCAGCTAGAGGTATATGTGTTCACAAGAGAAAATTGACGAGTTCGGCTAACAACCTAGTGATTCCAGAGTTGGGGTATCATTCAAAGATCTCTGAGGATTTTCATCATATGATGGACGAAAGCTCAGCACCTTTTCACCCGAAACGAGGGAGGAAGTCTCATGGACTGCGCCAACATGAATTTCGTATAAAAGCCAAACGGCTATAGTACAACGAGATTCATCCGTCCTCATCTGGTGAGATCAACCAACGAATCTCTTCTTCATGCACTTTCATTCGAAATGAAGGTCCCCCTAACAAAGAGCCCTTTGACAGGACAGTTTATTGGGCTCGCCAAATCCAGGACCAAAACTTTGGCTTATGAAATCGAAGGTATAAAATACTGGATTGCATCCGTAAGTTCTCATTTATCCAGTGGCAACTTGTATGTTAGCCATTTAGTAGCACTACGGCTAACTTCCTTTAATCGAAGATAGGAATACCAAAATGTTGTGGCCTCCAGTATGGTCGCAGTCTGTACCAAGTCCACTATTTGATGCTGGGAATTATGATAACTACTATTGCAAAGGATTTCGGACTAGGTGCGTTCTACTAAGTCTCCCGAACAATAAGGCCAAGTTGCGACGAGGTCAATCCACTTCTAACTTCCTTCAAGTTTGGAGATGCAGCTCCTCTTCAATTGCTCATCTGATTCCCCACAGACAGGCAAGAAACTTGTATCTCTTCGAGCAATGTTTGTGTTTCAGGATGGCAACTGCCGCAAGTCAGTAGGAGGAAGGGCGATCAAGGACTTTAACACTCTTCAAAAAACCTAATGTATGCTCTTTTGCGTATGTCTTTGAGAATCCAGGATGTTGTTGTCAGTTCAACAGCAGCAAAGCATTGTTCCAATTCAGCAAGAAAATTATTGGATTCTTCTTTGTGTATTTATGTCCCATGAGGGTATATTTCCCCTCATTTGTCATAGACTGTGCTTCATATTTGATACATTTGCTTTAGACCGTGTTCATCTTGGCTGTGTCGGAGTAAATAATTAGAAACCAGCGCAGTCAAGTTATTCCCAGGGCTCTGGCCATCCCTCGTCTGTGACTATGTCGGAAAAACAAAACGGAGCCATCATAAAAACGTAGCCAATGAGATGCTGGCTTACGTCAGGCTCTGATACAAACAATGTTGCAGAGAGAGGGTGAAAGCAAGAAAGGAAGCAGTCACTGACGCAATCCGTCGACATCCAACCCAACATAATTAATGGAGAATAGCATAAAACGTCTCGAAAGGAAGTGTCAGAGTCTGTACATGAAAGGACCATATTGTGGAACGTCATTTTGTTTAAAGCTATACTCCTTTGGGAATAAACTCCTAAAGGGCTATGCAGGCGCGAGCGAGGCGTTTTCCTTTTTCAGATTTTGTACCACTCAAACAGAATAAATGCGTATCTAGTATAAATTATAGTCGTGATGCCCAAATGGCTAATGACTACTTGTGAAAAGGAGTACTAATAAAGGCTTTCCGTCTTGACAACATTTAACTGTAATCCAAAAGCCACATTCAGGTCACATTAAACTGTTCAGGTCGGCTTAGCCAATACATGAGTACGTCACAGAGAAAGGAAATATCATATAAAGTAATTGAAACGAACTACGGAGAGAATATGGATGAATGGTTAAAAGAATATACTATGAAAATGTTTGACCATATTGTGTCATATGCTACTCTTGACAAAGAATAAGGATGAAATGCGTCAAAATTAATTACTAATCCCAGCATGAACAAACAAAATAAAATAGCGAGTGATAAATGAGAAAATGATAATAAAATCATTAAGAAACATGCCGGGTTGTTTACGGACAGGATTCTAGTTACCAGACACTATAATCATACTGTGCCAGTGGATAGCTTCATCTAGAAAAATTCCCATTTCCTCTGAAGGCTGTTCTTCAGGTTCGTGAGCCTTACCTTTTGCACACCTTCATGGAAGGCTCGCTGGGCTAGTCGTCCAGGACCGTCTACAGTCTTTCCATCATCTTCGGGCCCCCAGGAGGCAGAGTATACATCGATATAGCCCATCCGGTGGCCAAGTGAGCGAGACTCCATGGCGTCAGTCACATCTCCGTCAAGCATGCGGACGCCGCCGATACGAGCGCGGTGTGCAATCCCTAACCCGCAAACGCTGTTGTTGGCCACTGCGGCCACCTCGCCAGCGCATCTAGTGCCATGACGACTAAAATGATGGGCAAGAAAAAACTGTTCAGTTCATAAGATGGCGAGCAGCAGAGTCAAAGAAATAATGAATAAGATTTCAAATCTCCTTAAATCGCTCAGGGTGACGTAAAGACTGATGAGCGAACTTTCCATAATTCCCAGTTGGTTGCGGAAAATTCGATTGCCCATCCTTAGGTCACCTTAAACGACCCCTAAGCTGACCTAATTCAAGATCTACTGATAGATTTAAAGCCTACTCACTTGGGGGGAAAGAAAGATTGACTCTGCAAAAGGGCAAAATAAATGACATTTAGAGATAAGCGAGAGGTATGAAAATGTGAAAAAGGTCAATCTGAGGCGAAATGGGAGTAGATGAAGGCTGGAGTGTGAGCGGGTGATTGCAGTATTCGTTTGGTTGCGGAAACGTCCAAGTTGAGTTAATGAAAGTTGGATCGGCTAGCTTGTGGGAAGGGTGCATTTCACTAAATATGTATAATAAGATTAATAGTGATAATGAAGTCAGATGGGTTCTTAACAGATCAGCTTACTTAAGTCTTAAACTATTCATCATCCCCGAGAAAGTATTTTTTTATGCACCGTGACTTGTGGAAACTGAGATGAATTTATTAGAGTGTGTTACTCAGAAAGCAGTGGGTTCTTTAAGCG